TATATATATATATAGATATATATGTATACATATCGAAATATATGTATATATATATATATATATATATATATATATATATATATATATATATAGATATATATATATATATATATATATATATATATATATATATATATATATATATATATATATATATATGATGCTAATTACTTAGATCACCTGGGGTACGGTAGAAAACGAGCTAGGAGAGCAAAGCGGATTATTAGCTTAGCAAATTGATGATTCTGAGGTCCCTGCGAAATGAGCACATGTGAACTAAGCCGGGGGTTGATCCGGCGGAAACCCCTCCGACGCTCAAGTCAGATATGGATTGTGGAAATGGTAGAGAGAATAAAACTCTAGATTGCTTGTGAATAATCGAACGTACCTTAACAAATGAGTAAAATATCTATTTATATGTCGTTGATTGGGTTGGGTTTACTTTCTTGGGCCCAAGCCTTATTTTGAAGGTGTTTGGACTTTCGTGTAGTGGACCCAATTATTAGATAAATTGGGGGCCCATTGGGTCGGCCCAATTAGGTATATCATTAAGCCCCCCAAATCTCGAGACAAGATGGGAGAATTGTCGAGGTGAATCCGGCTCGTGTCGAGAGTTAATTGCGTCGTGGCTTGACGAGTTTCCATTGACGTTGAATTTATCTCATTAATTAAAGAACGGATAATTGTATTTATTTGGCAGCGAGGTATATATTTAAGGGCTTTAAATAATATACCAGGGTCAGATTAATAGACTCATTTTGCGGTGGAAATAATTAAATTCCAACTCCTGTGGAATAAATATGGGTAAGTATTTTTAACTTTGGGTCTTCTTCCGTGCTCTTGCTTCTTTAATTTTTTTTTTTTTTTTTGGCGGTAGAGTAGAAATTATCTGTTTCTTCGGAGAAAAATATTTATCATGTCGAACCCGGGAAAGTCGAAATCTTTACGAATTAAAATTCGAGATCCGGTTGAAGGGGGCGAGAAAACTTTTGGTACGGTGGGTATGGAACGCGAGAAGCCTGTAGTACCGGGGGCGAAAATCGGATCCGCGTCAACTAGTGCACGAATAAATGGTAAAAGGGGGTTGGGTGGAGGTGGGGCTGGGGACGGCAGCTCGAGCCGCATAGCCAGCCTTCCAATTTTGTGTGATGGCGCGCACTTTGAGGGTGGAGGGGAGCCAAGCCGAGCTGTGGAGTTGGGAGCTTGCACGATTTCCGTGGAGAGGAGAGAGGGGGGTAAAGAGGGAGATGATGTTCTGCGCGCGTCGGACGTGGGGCGACGCGCGCGTCTGAGTGGGGCGTGCGCCGACGCGCGCACGCGGGGAGAGAGGGGGGTGATGCTGACGCGCGCCCGCTGCCAAATAAAGGCGCGCGTGCGCGCGCGTCGATGGGGGAGGGGAGATGTGATCGCGCGCGCTGCCCAATGAAGGAAAAATTTTGATAATTGCTAATAGATTGTAGTAAGAGAGAAGAGAATTGATAATTAATGAAATAAGTGGGTATTTATAGTGGAAAATTAAGGGGAAAATATAATAATTTAATATTGGTGTGGAACCGACCGGTTCCTTCGGTTCCACCGGTTCTAACGGACATATGAGCAAACGATCTCGACAATTGATCAACAACGGTTGATTGATCCAGGCCACATGTTCAAATGAAAACCGGTTCCGGAATAGGAACCGAACTGGTCCGGAAATTTTGGCAGTTGCTTTTCTTTTTCTTTTTTTTTTTTTTTTTTTTTTTTTTAAATCTGACCGTTTAGAGTTGCCACGTGGGATTTCAATATTTGTTTTTTAAATCTGACCGTTTGAAGCTGCCAAATGTGTGTAATTTTTTTTTTAAATCCGACAATTTAAATAATATTATTATTATTATGATTTTCAAAAGAAGGTTGGTTAGAACCGTCGGTTCTCGGTCCCGAAAATGAGTAACCACAACCGAACCGGTTTTTTCGGTTCCGGTTCTAATCGAACCGGTGGTCATGTCTACCTCCACGTAACTAAATATTTGCATAATTTTTTTTAACTTGAACTTCCATATTACGGCACTCCAAGGTGAAGACTTTTTGTTAAGTCCTTACGGTGCTTATTTAGAAGACATTTGTACTCTACCTTTATCTTTTTTTTCCTGTCGTTTTTCCTTTGTTCCTCGCTCTTGTAATAAGCTAGCTCATGGTCTTGCTGTATCCATGGATCTCACCACGACTGAGGGTCTTTCTCTCCCTCCTCATTTGGCTTATCTGGCCTAATAAATTCATTTCTCTCAAAAAAAAAAAAAAACTTCTATATAATATTAAGAAAAAACTCGAATATCCTTTCGTTTCACGTAACTTCTTGATAAATTCACAAATACAGAAACCGTATAGATAAATTCTGAAACCTTAAAAATTTCTATAACTTTTGGAATTGAAATAGATTTCTGAATTTCAAAAATTTTGGATTTGGAATTGAGATAATTGAAAGTCCTTTCACTAATGAATTTTTATTTTTATTTTCTTCTAATTGAGGAAATTGTTTTAGACGAGGGAAATTGTTACCCAAAGTTGCAAAATTACTGCCTTGTTAGAAAGAAACTTTGCATAAATCAATACGCAATCAATTATCGATTCATGTCAAGAAATTAAGGGAACAAATTTGCTATTAAAACATGTTTCTTTGAAAACGCGTAACTTTACTTCCCTGCTTCATGACAAATAAAAATGGCAAATGATATTAATATATGCGACAACCACTAAATTAACGTCTCACGAAACCACATGTATTGCTTGCCGTTAGGGGTGGCAATTTCTCAACTTGGACCGGATCCGATCCGGATCCATGTGGATCGGATTCAAAAGGATCCGGATCCAATATCAATCTATATGAATAGATTTAATGTGGATCGAATTTAGACCGATCCGGATTGGATCCAAATGAATACATTTCATTTTTAATTCAATTTATGAGGTTGAATATCTCAACTTTTAGGATTTAATATCTCAATTTATGTAGTTTAATATCTCAACTTTTCGGATTTAATATCTCAATTTATGTGGTTTAATAATTAATATTTAAACTTTCAAACTCGCACATATTCACACACACTTTTCATACACAGTTACACACTATCACACACACGCACACACTCATATACACACACTGTTTAACACACACACCCCATTTTACACACACACACACTATTTTACACACACACACTGTTTTACACACACACACTGTTTTACACACACACATTGTTTAACACACACACACACTCACATACACACACTGTTTTACACACACACACACTCACATGCACACACAGCTTCTACACACACTCACATACACACACTGTTTACACACACACACACACACACACACACACACACACACACACACACACACACTCACTCTGTTTTACAGACACACGCACACACGTTGTTTTACACACACACACACACACTGTTTTACACACACACACTGTTTTACACACACACACACGCACACACACTCGCATACACACACAATTTCTACACACACACACTGTGTTACACACACACACACATTTTTCCTAGTTGTCCTCGACTCAACCGAATAATTGTCCTCATCATCATTCTCCATCTATTTCAATCTATATCAAAGTGTGTAAAGACTAAAGACCATAACTTTACAATAAACTCCAAACCAAGAATCACCTGGAATGATCTTGACACCTGAACATAAGATAGTTGTCATGTTTTTTGAACAAAAAAATATTAAAATATGATCATTAATTTAACAGTCCTAATTTTTTCATCAGAATTAATAACAGCACTTGAGTTGGAAATATATGATCTGCAGCATAATAGTTCTAATAAAATAAATAAATTAATAAATAAATAGTAGAAAAAAATAATAATTGCTAAACAAATATAAAATAAAAAATCACCTCGGAATGATTCCCCGGAGTTGGCTCCGACTTGCTTCTCCTCAGTTCCTTAACATTTTCCGACGGTCTCCGCGGCCTCAAACCACCGGAAGGCCTTATTTTCCGGCGGGAAGGCGACGGCGAAGGTCTTGGCGGCGAGCGGCGTGCGGCGGCGGCGAGCGGAGAGGAGGCTGTTGACGGCGGCGAGCGGAGTGGAGGCTTTTCACGGCGGTGAGCGGAGTGCAGGTTGTTGACGGCGGCGAGCGGAGTGGAGGTTGTAGACGGCGGCGGTCGGCGAGGAGCGGTATACGGCGGCGAGGAACGGCGATGGAGGTGGGGAATGGCGATGGGTTAAGAAATTTTTGGGGTGAAATCTGAGGGAGAATTTTTTATCGATTAAACTTTTAATTAAAATAATATTTTGACTTTTTTTTGTGAGAAAATTGTGTTGGTATTTGATTGGGTTTTAATTGGGTTTTGATTGGATCCAATATGACCCAATTTATTTTGTGGTTAAACTTTTAATGGGTTTAAAGTGAATCCACAGGGATCCAGTTTTAAAAAAATATCAAATGGATCGGATCCGATTTGTTTCAACTAAACTTAATCTAAACCGGATCCTTATGAACCGAACCGGATCTAATTGGATCCACGGAACCGGATCCAAATTGCCACCCCTACTTGCCGTATTCCCGTGTACTCGTCAATAACAGTTCAACGACTTCGCAATTAAAACGGCATTCTATAAACAGCTATTTACATAAATATACACAAATCGCAGAGACACTACTACTACTACTAAGCCAATAAAATGTTACCATTCTTCAATTTCATCGTCATCTTCATCGTCTTCATAGCATCATTTGCAGTATAATCGGGTAATCTATGCCCAAGCCAATTGAGTGCCGGTTTAAACTCGGTGGCTATAACTGTATGATTGTTCAGACTCGTATTCATACGAGCATCTAGGGGTGTAAATGAGACGAGCCGGCTCGCGAGCTTTCGAAGCTTGCTCGAAAAAAGCTCGTACTCGAGCTCGAGCTCGAGCTCACGAGCCCGAGCTTTTCGACGAGTCGAGCTCGAGCTTCATTTCAGTTGTTCGACAGCTCGCGAGCAGGCTCGCGAGCTTAACCTTTTCTCTATATTTTTAAATACATATTGATAATATATAATAATAGATATTATTAATAATAAATAAAAAAGAATAATATTACTTTTTTAATTGAAAAAATAAATTTGATGGATGGATTTTTGGTTGTGCCGAGCTCGAGCTCGGGCTCGTTTCGTATACGAGCTCGAGCGCGAGTTCGAGCTCCTTAGAAACACAAAGAGCTCGAGCTCGAGCTAAAACTTATAGGCTCCTCGAGCTCAAGCCTTGCCGAGCTCGAGCTCGAGCTCACGAAATAAGGCGAGCTCGGCTCGTTTACACCCCTACGAGCATCTCTCCTTTCACTCTGCATTTGACACTGCAACAACATCAGGTAAACGAAAAAAATCAAAGTGGATTAGAAGTTAACAAATATTTTTATTTAAATGAATCGCAGTCGTTTCAGCATAATGCCAACATCTACGATTTAAATGACTGCTTATTTCCAAATAGCATGCCACCTGCATTGTCATAATATTTGTGATAATTAAGCATAAATTTAAAAAATTTAAAAAATAAATAAATAAATAAATAAATTAGCGCAAGACACGTGAAAACGGACAAAGTTATTTCGTTTGAAACTTACCTAGAAGACAGTGGATAATTATTCCCAAATAAGACTCCACGCACAGCAATAGAAGCAGCAGTAGATTGTAAAACATTCTCAGCTTCATAGTTTCGACTCAAACTTGCCGATGAGGCAAGAAGTAAGTCACTGTCACTTAAATATGTACCAATGACCCATGCGTCGTCAATTGACTCCTCCCTCACAAAATCAAGAACTGTAATAAATCGCAAACATCAAACAAAAGAAAATTGCATAAATAGCTTAAGAAGCAACATATAAATTACCGTTTTCATGGAGAAAGTCAACAATAAGCGTTGCCTGCCCATGTGCCTGAGAAAGTACCAACTCCGGAGCATCCATTTTTAGCGGACACCTGATAAATTTCTCCTTAAGAAGAATTGCATCTTCGTCTGCATCAGGACAAAAATATCAGTGCAACACTCTACAATTTTATTTTCTCTTAGAACAATTTTATTTTCAATATCAGTGCGGATCGACCTCCTCCCGAGATCTTCTGAGTTCTCCTCCCGAAGAACCGATCTTCTAAGCAAATCTTTTAATGTATTTTTCTTCTCGAATAAGATAAAAAACAGGAGCAGCAAGCAACGTAAAGAGCAGAAAATTATTTTTCTCTCAAATAAAAGGGACAGCCTCCAAAAACGTTGCTTCACCTTTATTTATACTTCCTTAGTTGACTAGAAGAGCCATACAAAGATCACGTAAGGAAAAGGAATTGTATAACAAAGGAAGGTCTTAGTCATAGAAATTCCTTGTTAACAAATCACTTTATGTAATTAAATAAATTAATGACAAAATAAGAGTTTAAAGCATTAAGGAAACTTCCTTAGCTCTAGACACACGTTTTCACACACGTGCTAAAAAAACCGAAATTAGAATCATCTCGAATTCTAACAATCTCCCCCTTTGTCATCTATTTATTATAATCAAGTCCTCCCCTTTAATCAAATACCTGAGAAACATTAAACTGCATAGTAGAGTGACTGTTAGAACAATTAAAGAAAACAGCAGTTAACAAAACAGAAAAAGTAAAGCCTAGCAGACTATTACAGGCTATTGTTCAGAAACTGGATTCGACAACAAAAAAAAAACTATAAAACAAACTAATCCAGAGTATCTTCAGCATCAGCGAACAACTCCCCATCATCATCTGTATCAACATCAGTTGTTGTTCCATCAACTGTTGGAACAGTTGGAGCAGTAGGTTCAACAGCTGGATCAGCAGGTCCAGCAGCTGCGTCAGCTCCCCATGTATGCGGTTCCTCCTGATGCGATGCTTCGTTGTCAACTCCCCCTGAAGAATCACCCCCTTTCTGAGCAAGGGCAGTAAAATAGTCGAGTTTTTTCTTCAGTTCATCTGCACGGGCGACAGCAGCCTCATATTCCGCCGAGAGATAAGAGATAATATACGAAAGGACGGGTGTGGTGGTAGGAGAAGCAGCCTGACAACGAGACTTTACAGAAGCGGAAGAGGAACTCGGACGACACGGCAAATCATCTACACGTGGTACCCGACGAGGATCTGATTGAGGGTCCACTATCTTCGAAGAGACAGAAATAGGAAGTGGAAGAGACGGGACGGCAGCGGTGGTGGAAGTAGCGGAAGGCGAGGCAGAGTGAGTGGCGCGTCGACGGGAGCGGCGGGTTGGCGGTGGTGTGGAGGCAGGGCCCTTGCCTTTGTTGACCGACGAGGATGGCGGTTGTGGGGCTGAGGCCGGTGCGGGTGGTGATTGCGGCGGCGATGCCGGTTCAAACGGTGGTGGTGACGGTTGAGCAGCCGGCGGGTGTGGCAGTGGAGGAGACGGTGGAGAATAGGTGAACGGTGACGGCGGCGAGACTGGCGGCGACGGCGGTGGAGAAACCCTAGGGACCAAAGCGATTGGCAGAATTCCAAAATTGGTAGCGGAGGCGGCCGTGAGGTGGAGTGGAGGCTCACAAAACGCGAGGGGCATGGCCCCCGAGGGCTCCCCGAAGGTAGATCGGCGACCGGAGCGGCGAGTCGGCGGTGGATGCGCCGGAGATGTGGTCGCTGGTCGAGAGGGCCGTCGTTTGGACGAGGAAGACGAGACACCGGTGTACTTTCGTTTTCCCATAATTGTGTTCTTAGTTTCCTTCGATTGGAGTGCAGATTTGAGGGTTTTCTGCAGAAGAAGAAGAAAAAGGCACAGAGACGAAGGGAAGAGGAAGAAAAATTGAAAGAAAACGTGAAGGGGTAATTATCCAGGGATTACTGTTGGTTTTCTCATGGGTATTTTAGCAATTAGGGAGAATATTGTGAGAAGATTGCAAATATTATTCTGCCCACAATGAGTTCAATTAATGAAAAACCAAATTCAGATATAGCAACTCTCAACCTTTCGCATATGAAGCCCAACACATTTCAAATAAACTTCGAGAAGAAGAAAAAAATGCTCCGAAGAGTGGGTTACTCCGAAGAATTCTATTGCTACCAAAAATTACGAACCCACCCCGGTTTTTTTTTTTTTAAATTAAATGCATAACATGCAAAGGCGAATAACTAAGACGAAATAAACGTGAGAGAAGAAAAAGAATATGAGTGAATAAACACAGGTGAATAGGATACTATTAGGACTATCAAACCCATGGGGTTTATCTTCAATTTTAACAAAAAACAAGCTCCAAAAGACAAACTAAGGAGACTAACAGCAAATTTAGTACCCTCAAATCAAGCACAAAAACGCTCTTATTAGGTAGCATAGGCACTCTACTAATGGTAGCTTTTTCATGAAAGGCAGAGCAATTAAAACAGCGAGATAGTTGTGGTCGTGCAATGTGTAGTCCCCTGGGCTTTCTAATTGAGCCGTGTAGTGAGTGTTCGGTCTTGTGGTTTACCGCCTCGACTCAAAAAGGCTTCGAACTATTCACTGACCGTATATAAAATTTATAATGGTCGTGCAATGTGTAGTCCCCTGGGCTTTCTAATTGAGCCCTGTAGCGAGCTTTCGGCCACGTGATTTACTGACTCAACTCAAAAAGGCTTCGAACTATTCATAGACCAATCGTTTGACATTATATATAGTATGAACGAAAATTCAAGAGTAGCTTTCACTCATTTGGAGAGACAGCTTTTCCTTATGAGAGTGTTCAACCATGACAAGACTGTGAAGGGTAGTAAATAAGCTAAAGCCTCTGTAGCTATCATTTGGGGATTGATGAAGTTCTACCTCACAAAATTCGAAAGTACAGATAGTATCCAAAACACATGAGTTCTTGTCACATGCAGTATGTCTAATGCATAACCTAGATGAACAAAATGCAGTAAGTATGATGTGTCCCTTAAAATTTGCAGGTCTGGACACAGACTGTTGCAACAGTTAATGCAACTGCACAGGTCAGACAATACAGATTCCAAGCGAATTTCGCAAGGAATCGAACCTTTGTGCATCTAGGGGTTTAGTAAAGATGTCAGCAAGTTGTTTTTCCGTTGTGACATACTCTAATGAGACAGTTCCTTCCTCTACCAGATTTCTAATGAAATGGTAACGGATTTCAATATGCTTAGTTCGAGAGTGTTGTACTGGATTCTTGGAAATATTAATTGCACTCATATTGTCACAATAAATATGCAATAAATCTTGACTAATACCATAATCACATACCATTTGTTTCATCCATAAGAGTTGAGCACAACAACTACCTGCGGCGATATATTCTGATTCGGCAGTGGAAAGTGAGATACTATTCTGCTTTTTGCTGTACCAGGAGACGAGATTATTCCCAAGATAGAAACATCCTCCCGTCGTGCTTTTTCGATCATCTGCATCACCTGCCCAATAGCATCGCTAAAACCTGCAAGTGTTGTGTTAGTATCCATGGAATACCAAATACCGAAATCAATTGTTCCACTTACGTAGCGAATGATTCTTTTGACATCACTTAGGTGACATTCCTTGGGATTGGATTGATACCTGGCACAAACTCCAACACTATAGCATATATCTGGTCTGCTAGAAGTAAGATACGGTAGACTACTTATCATGCTTCGATATAGTGTGGAATCTACAGAGGTTGCATCCAACTGTCGCGACAGTTTGTCGTTCGTTCCCATAGGAGTTCTAACAGTTTTTGCAGATTCCAAACCAAAACGTTTGACAAGATTTTTAGCATACTTGGATTGAGTTATGAAAATTCCATCACTCATTTGCTTAACTTGAAGACCTAAAAAATACGTAAGTTCCCCAACCATGCTCATTTCAAATTCACTAGACATTTGTTTAACAAATTCTTCAATTTTTGTTTGAGAGGTAGACCCAAAAAAGATATCGTCAACATAAATTTGAGCAATCAGGATGCCTCCCTTTAATTTTTTAAAGAAAAGAGTTCGATCAACGCTACCCCTAGTGTATCCCTTGTGTGATAAAAATTATGTAAGACGCTCATACCAAGCTCGAGGCGCTTGTTTGAGACCATACATGGCTTTGTTCAATTTGAAAACGTGCTTGGGATGATGTGGATCTTGAAATCCTTTGGGTTGTTCAACATAAACTTCTTTTAAAATACCATTTAAGAAGGCGCTTTTGACATCCATTTGAAAAGGTTTGATTTTTAGAAAACAAGCAATAGCAAGGAGTAATCGAACAGATTCTAGTCTAGCAACAGGAGCAAAAGTTTCATCGAAGTCAATGCCTTCGATTTGACTATAGCCTTGTGCAACTAATCTAGCTTTGTTACGAACGATATTTCCATGTTCATCAGACTTATTTTTAAAGACCCATTTTGTACCTATTATATTGACATTATCAGGCCTAGGAACCAAAATCCAAACGTCATTTCGAACAAATTGTTCCAGTTCCTCATGCATGGCTTGAATCCAATACTCATCTAATAAGGCTTCTTTAACATTTATGGGTTTTATAGTCGAGGTGAAGCATACATACCTTGCCATTTCCCTGTAGTTGACTTTGGGTTTACCTCTGGTTTGAATTCCTTCTTCTATCGGACCAATCACTTGCTCCACTGGATGATTCGTCTTGACTCTTTTTGAGGGTTCCTTTTGAGTTTGGTCATCCAATTCGAGAGGGCTGATTTCAGCTTCATCTCCAGTTTCTGAATTAGCGTCGCTTTCTTCTGAAATAGTACTAGTTGCATCAACTGTTGGAACTGTTGTTGTGACACTAGAGCGATTATTTGATTCCTTTGTTGGTTCCTCTTCCAGTGGACTTGCATCATTGTTAAAATCATCAAATTGAACATATGCAGATTCCATGACAGACTTTGTTCTTAGATTGAATATTCTATACGCATGGCTATTTCGAGAGTAGCCTAAGAATATTCCTTGATCACTTCTAGCATCGAATTTTCCAAGTTGTTCTCTGTCATTCAGAATATAACAAGTACAACCAAAAGTACGAAGATAGCTGAGTTGAGGTTTTTTACCTGTCCATATTTCGTGGGGAGTTTTAGTGGTACCTGGTCGAAGATAAACTCGACTTATAATATAACATGCAGTGTTAACTGCTTCTGCCCAAAATCGAGGAGCAATCTCCTTTGCGTTCATCATGACCCTGGCTATTTCTTGTAGAGTGCGATTTTTGCGTTCAACCACTTCATTTTGTTGAGGTGTTTTAGGTGCGGAGAATTCATGAGATATTCCAAATTTTTCACAAAAGTTAGTAAATAAAAAAATTTCAAATTCTCTCCCATGATCGCTCCTAATTCTCTCAAT